GGGGGGGGGCATTGAGCAAGCTGGCAGAGGGAGTAAATCTGGCCCTGGCTGTACCTGTTTGCACTACAAAGAGAGGGGGTGATACTATCAGAATTGTCACTGCTGATTCAGAGACTTGTAGCTTGTCAATCTCCTTCTGCCCACACCTAGGCCCCTCCACTGCTTTCTGATTGGCTATTCTGCCTCTGTTGCTGAGATCCGATCATTTTAACCTGCAGTGTCTGGGAAGGGGGGCGTGAGACACAAATGAAGGAGGATTTGGCTCTGTCAGGAAAGGTATAGCAAGTTTTTTTTTAAGTCTTTAATAAAATAAAATAAAATTATACACATAATAATCACTTGCACAATACACAGAGTAAATAATTTAGTACATTCAGGAACCTTTAGTTGTACTTTTCATAAGATAAAACACAATGTAATATAGCTTGTATGTATAGCTTGATTATATGCTGTTACAATATGAGGAAAGAGATGCGAGAGAAAGATTAAAGGTAAGGAGAAATTACAATGTAAGGCAAGAAAGATAACCCTCCAATTCTTAGATACTGCACAGTCATTGTTACAAAAACACCTTGGAATGCAGATGAGGGAAAAATGAACATAAACCAAAGTCAAATATATTTTTAAGAATAGTAATGTTACTCAAAACCAAACAGAAGGCTTACTAACCCTCCTGGTACTGGAGTCCGCAGCCTCAAAACTCACTGCAGAGCTCAATGATATCACGCTGTTGGGAACTACTACAAACCAGAGTCAATAGTGCCATATAGTTTTTATACCCAATACAGCACAATTGCTGCAAAAGGAGACACCCCACCTCATACAAACCCACCCCAACAATTTAATTGACTTTTATTTTAACGTGTTAAGAATATATGAGATTTTATTGATTGGGTTTATTGCTTTAAAACATATTCTGTGAGAAACACAGGGATTGCCATTCTTGATCTAGAACTGTGTAGCTATCATAGCAATCCTCTGGTTTCAGTAGATTCTGAGCCACTAATCTGGAAAAGACTGAAGATCAGAAGCTCTTCTGCACTCCGGTTTGCAGATCTGCTCACCTGTTGTGGGTCAGACCTACCAGATACAACGTTTACACGCTGACATATGTAGCTTGGCCAGTATTAGTAAAGGTGCCTATAGATATTAGAGCAGGGGTAGGCAACCATGGCATGCAAGCTGTGTCGAGCCTAAACAATCCCATCATCTCTCTCTTTCTGGCAGTCATACCAGTGGCTGTCAAAGTGAAGTGTGTAGTTCCAAGACAACAGAAGGTTGCCTACCCCTGTGTTAGGTGCAAATAACTATCCAAAGCACCAAGCTTTATAGATTTCATCAACAGATCGCTACTATTAGCATTATTAATATAAAGTGTTGGTCACTATCCATATTTTTTTTTCTCTATTCTAAGTGGTTATACAAAGCAGTAAATGGTTACACATATTCCTTTGTTCTCCATCATTTCAGTTGTATCTTCATATATTTAAGCACACAGAGTGCTTATCAATCCATCCAGGATTTGTGTTAAAATTCGTCATGAAAAGGGTATTTTGGATGGTCCTCCCACCTACAAGAACAAAACACGATTATTACCTTTTTAACAACTTTTTTAATACTTTTTATTACAGTCGAGTATTAAGTTTAAACGCCAACAGCGAATCTTTTGGTCTGTTAACTATTCAAAGCATGTTGTTATAGCTGTTCAATAAGGGCAAAAAACACCTGTTGATTCTGCCAGAAATTGCATGACCTGATAACTTCCTGTGCTCTCTGCCTCTGTTGACTGTTATCAATTAAACTGTTCTAAGTTGTCCCTGGGGACTACAGAACACTACCCCCCTCCCCCCCACCGCTCCCTCCATGTTATGGTGAAGAGAAGAAAGAGAGGTGTTTTGTAGCCCTGTCCTTGGGTAACTGCTGCTCCCCTGTAGAAAAATAAAGCTGGAAATTGCCTGTAAAAAAGAAAAATGAAACCATATCTAAGGATTGGTAAGCTGCAATATATTCCATTTTTGTTTTGGGGGTCAGATACACAATAATGAAAAACATATGTTCATACAATTTTGTTGGCTCCCACAGCTTACTTCTTCTCACAAATACTATTTGCTGTGCTATCTTTGGCCTTGAAAATCTTGAGCCATTCACCCAGGACAAGCATGCCTCCAGTAAAATCAGAGTGAAGTCAAAACATCTTCTCAATGACGCAAAAAGTACTAAAGCCGGAACACTGGCATGCCAGCCAGGCAACTAGAATTTTCAGCATATGTCAGTAATGTCAGCCTTTATATTTTTCTTAGTACAGGTTTTTTTTTTTAAGAACTTAATGTAATTCCCCCTGTTTTATGAACTAGCTATATATCATTAAAGCGGACCTTTTCCCATATCTTTAAAATAACAACAAACACACCTTTAGAAATGTTTAGTAATGACAATCTGCAAACACATACTTCTGGATAACCGTCAGCTTTGTATTCTTTGCATTCCTTATTTTTCTTTTCTTTCCCAGTCTTCTCACAGTGGCCATGTTTACTGAGGGCAGATTATTATATCTCCCTTTACTTCCTGAAACTCTGGCACATGTGACTTTCCCTGAGATCTCACGAAATTACACATGAGATTTCCCAGCAATGCTCTGCTGATGACAAGGCAATCTCAGTGTGCATTGCTTTGGCAAATTGAAGTCATTTTGCACTTTCAAAGCAGGAAGTGAATGCTCTGCAAGTGTAAGTATTTCAAAATCACAGCATTTTACACCTGACATGTCTATGTTATTATTAATCATCATACAGAGAGGGATACTTTGGTAGAATTTGATTTTTGAGTGTAAAGGTCCACTTTAACACATTTTTGAAAACCTGCAAGAATTTATTTGAAAAAAAGTTTACTTTGCATGGTGTCCCCCATGGCTCTACCTGCCAAGACATGAAGAATCAAGAATCTTTTATAAGATTGCACACTCGCTTTCATTGTTTATTTAATTTTTCTAGTCTAGTGTATATTATGTTAAATTTACCCGCCCATGAAAAGCCTACAGTCTTACATCCCTGCATCAATGGCACAATTTAGGGCCACAATGAGGGGAAACCAGTTCATTTACCAGTAGGCTCCCTGGCTAGTAGGAAGAAGCAGACAGAACAACTATGGACAATAACCGGGGCTACGAAACCCAAAAATGTCCAATTCTATCGCATTTCTAACTGCTAAACCACCATTATGTCTAAGATTACAAGTTACCAAATTAATCAAGTCTTAGGGTGTTATTGCTAAACTACCCAATACAAAGCTGCCCGTAAACCAGAGATGACTGTTGCCAAATCTGGGAGTTTTTGGATGGGTTAGGTGACAATCTCTGTACTATGGGAAACCAATCATGATGCTCAGGGGGGAAATCAATTGGGTAGAACAGAAGACATTCCCGAATCACTATTGCTATTCTCACTAATAAGCCAAAACAACCTCCCTCTTCCTGCTCGACTTACATCGATAGTGCTACATCCAGCCAAGCGTCTAGTTATTCCTCCTTCCTCTGCGGTCTTTCTTGTCTGAGGGTGATTGGATTGTGCCTGTATGTCTCAATGGCCTCTCAGGACTAAGACTAAAAACACAAAACACACAGCTCACCCCTATGATGCATCCTTGTAATCCACATTTGGTGCACAGTTAACCCTCTTCTGGAGTAATTGTCTCAAAAACTGCAAAACTGGCACACAATGCTCTTCCCAAGAAAATAGAATTGTATTCCACATGCATCTGTATGAAAAAACTAAACGCTGACGTGTTTATGCCTTACTCTGCCTTAAGGTGCCCATACACCTTACAATTATCTGCAGATTTTCTGTGGTCAGATGGAAAAAGTGCAACAGATTGGCCCAGGTGGAGATTACTCCATACACACAGTTAAGTGTAGATGGAGGAATCTGTTGCAACTTTTGCATCTGACCAGAGAAAATCTGCAGATAATTGGAAGGTGTATGGCCAGCTTTAGTCATAGCTGGTTGTGCACCAACACCAACCGCTCTAAAATAACATGTCGCATAGGAGGGAGGGAGAAACATTTAGAGGCACCTGTATCTAATAAACAATCCATGTAATCACATTAAAACAAAAAAGAGGAAAAAAGGATTGGATGGATTGTTTTTTTTATATGCAGGTGCTTCTAAAGGTTTCTTCTATTTTAAAAAGGTTGGGGAAAAAAACTAATTTTCGGTTTCGGCCTGACAAAAAGTTTTAGTTTCGGTCTAAAAATTTCATTTTGGTGCATCCCTACTTAAAATATATAGGTTGACTGGTTCTTACCAATTAAAACATGACAATAATATCAGCAGCATGATACTTACATAGACATATTATCATAACGCAGATTTTTATTCAGAGCGTCAAGAGATGTCATGTCCTCTTCCCCCAGCTCAAAGTCAGTTACCTGCAGACAAAACAGAATTGGCATACATGTGTGGTCATTTGGACATTGTCATTGTACTTTGCACTTTGTTACCCAATAAGCATAGTTCAACTGGTTCTTCGATACAGCTTAAAGTCTACACTTGAAGTCTATGTAAAATCTGATAATGAACTTCTGTTTATTTTTTTTAATCATCCAATAAGGGACACAGGAATCATAGGAATTCTTGAGGGAGAACTATGAGGCGAGTGAATTACATTAATTCTCATAGTTAGAGTCGACGTGTGAAAATGAAGCTGTCACACGTCGACTCTATTGATCGGCAAGGGAGCAAAAACATACCGCCGTTTGCTCACTTCCTGATCATCTCCCTGCGGAGAGCGATGACTATCACTCACCGCTCCCCACAGGGATTCCCCCCCTCCCCTCACCGATCCTCCAGCACTGACTGACTATTTTTTCTCCGGTGACTGTAGTCAAGATGTTGAAAATGCTGCTTAAGCAAGTCTTGAAGTCTTAAAATAGCAGCTATTGCGTTTGGCATATCTGTAGCATTAGCTTTGGAGACCATTCCTGGACCCCACTGGTCTAGAGGATTACGGGGCTAGCCTGGAATGTGACCTTCAGCCACTGAGCTCTGCATTGTGACGCTTTCCAGACCTTTGTGTACTGTTAACTGCAGAATGCTCGTTCAGCACATACCAAATACCATGGGGTTTATTTGAGCGGCAGAATGATCTCCGGGTCTGGGAGCCGTGGCACAGCCTCAGTGTGTAACCCTGTTTCCTAACTTTTATAGTTGTTCTCTGAACATTGTAATACTAGCCTGGAATGTGCCCTTTGTGCACTGGGCTCTCAATTGTGGCTTTTTGCAGACCCTTTTCTTTTTTTCATCTACAGTCAGTTTGGATTCAGGATCCCCTCATCTGTTCATCCCTACTTTGAAGAGCAGGGTTCTGCACCTGAGTATGCTTCCTTTCTTTCTAGCAAAGAAGTATCCATTGTTGGAAGGTCATGTGCTTTCCTGGAGGGTCAAAAGGCAGAAGACTCTGCTAACCTGGTACAAATTTCCCCTAAATGGGATAATGTAAGTCATGAACACTTCATGGGACCTGACTGATTACTGGAGGATAGATCCTCGATCGTTAACCAAGCTGCAACCTTCTGAGAAGGTCTAGACTCTTTCTTCTGTCCTCTTCTCTATCAGACCAGTAATCCTAGTGCTAATATTGGGATTCCTACCTCTAGTTCACCAGTAAAGGATTTTTCCTTTTACAAGGATAATTTATATCATCATATATTTGCTATCTGGTTATGCAGGTTGCAGGGTGGCTAGCACACCCCTGAAACACCTATAGGAAGGTATATTTACAATCCTCTTGCTTCTGAATTCTTTGTATGCAAAGTTCATGTTATTAAATCCTCACCCCTGCCTAAACCTTTTATATAGGTGCTGTTGATCACCCCTGCCTGTCCTTAAAAAGAATTCCGGATTACTCCCTACATTTTTTTCCAGCTTAAGGGTTTGTTCTTTCTCTCTACATTTTAAGATGCTCTTACATCCATACTTAGTTCCTTAAGAGTTTACTTGTTCTTTAGAAAACATCCTTCTTATCATTTACATATCTCTCCCTGAAGTCAAGCATTAGCCTATGACTGACTGGTTGATCTTTTTTTTTCTGGACATGTCGGTCCAAGCCTCCTTTCCCTGAAGTTAAAGTGGCCCTAAACTAAGTGAAATCTTAAAAATTCATTCAAGTACCTTAACTATTAACAAAGCTGTACCTTATTTGTGTATCACTACAGATGAATAATACACAAATAAGCTACATTTTGTTAATAGTTAAGGTTCAGAAGGTAAACAAAGGGGCAGGGCGAGTTGTGACGTCACAGGACTTGGTCCACTCCTTTGTTTACATTACAGCTCTCGGTCCTGTAATGGAATGTAAACAAAGGGGTGGAACAAGTCTCATGACTTTATGATTCGCTCCGTTACCCTTTGTTTACATTCAGGACCAAAGCATTCATTAGAGTTCGTGGGTTCGGACGTGGTGGCAGGCAGCTGGGATTTTTTGTTTCATTAAGTCGGTGGCCTTCGTCTATCATGATTGACGAGGATCTACACCACTGAACAATGTCACTGACCTGGGGACTACATTGATGGACACTTCTTTTGGAGGGGTATGGGGGGGTTTGGGATGAAGAACTTGTCAAAATCTGTCTTTGTGTTTTGTTTTTCAAATAAAGGTTATGGCACAGGGTGGGAGTCAGTTGGTCATACACCAGTAGATTTTCATCTAAAAAATAGTTTTGGGAATGTTCATTCGATTTTCTACTATTTAATGGGGGCAAAAAATTTGAAGGAGCAGGATGGAGATTTTTTTCTCAAACAAATTCTAACAGTGAATTTTGGTTGTAGTTGGATAAACTCTATTAATTCCAAAACCGAATGTTAAAATCAAACAAAATTTGGAACGACGTTCTACAAGTCTTTGATGGAATTATCGAATGTTCTGGTGAGATTTCTCTTATGAACATTCGTATGAAAATCTACCAGTGTATGATCAGCTTTAGAAATGGATCCCTTAAGTATATGTAAAACCAAACTTGATGTAGAAGAGTTCTTATTTGTTCTGATCTGTGTCCCCATTAGAGAGAATGCCCACTATCGGTCCGGGTAATCATTGTCTCTGGAACAGAAAGTGATGGGTAATCCAAAACATTTGAGTTATCATGGGAATAGGTTAATGAGAAATCTTCAAATGGGGGAACCTGGTTTGGTGGCAATGTTTTAGGAAGGGACAATGGCTCACTTTTAAGAGATCTCCTCTTATTTCCTGCTTTGTCATTAGGACAGAAAGTAAAGAAAAATATTCATTATGGAAGAAAATAACTTTTAAGAGTCTGAACTATTCTCCAGCACAATAGTGCTGACCTAGGTGAAGCTGTTACATCAGTCAGACCACAGTTGGTACCTGCAGGTTCTCTGTGATCCTATGTTCCGTGAAGCTCTTTGCAAGAACGACAATTCCTTTCTGCAGAAGATACCGCAGAGCCACCTGGGCCGCTGTCCGTTTGAGCCTCCCCGCTATATCATTCAGGACTGGATCTTTAAGGAGAACAGGCCAATTCTTACCAATCCTGCACGGAAGGAAACAGAGAAAGCTCAATGTTTTATTTCTAATTTGAATAGATTTCCCAGCATGTTGGAGATCTTTGAGTGTGAGATGCCCTGTGTTATGCTGTGCTCTAAAAAACATGGCTTCAGCCATTCCTTTTTCTGCAGCATGAAGAAAATGCCAAACTGATAAGACAACTGATAATTCTTGGAATAATGATCATGTGACCACTCAGTAAGCTGGGGACTTGAAGTCTCGCACGATATCAGAGGAAGCAAGGGCAATCTGAGATTAATATATAT